TATCTTTACAATCAGTCTGTCAATAGTTCTCACTTCCTGACCCCCACTTCCTAATATGACCCCCTCCTTCTATCTTAGTTGAAATATAGCACTCCATGGCTGTTTCACTGCTGATGGGACGCGCGCTATGAATTTCACGAAATATGTGTTTCACCGCCTTTTATCTGCTCTTATCAGTCATTATCATTTTCTGACCCCCGTCCCCAACATCTCCTGACGATAGTTGAATGATAACACTCCATGGTTGCAAAGAAGCGAACTAAAAAATTCGCAAAATTTGTATTCCAGCGCTTCTTATCAGCTCTTATTGACTTCCCGTTCTGCTCCCTATATCATACCTAGAAAACAGCGCGCTACAAAAGTCGCGAAAATTTCGTTTCAGCTCTGCTTATCAGTACTTACCAGTCGTTATCACTTTCTGTCCCCCACCAAATATGTTCCCGTCCCACCGCTTATATCATACTTGAAAGGTAGCACTCCATGGTTCCAGGGAAGTGCACATTAATTCCGTGAAATTTGCATTCTAGCGCCTCTTATCCTAACAAGTTATCACTTTCTGACCCCCACCAAGTATACTCCCTTCCCACCCCCTATATCATATCCCAGAATTAACTCCTGTCAACTGCTGTGACACGTACTATGAATTTCGTGACACGCACAGACAGGCAGACACAGCGCTTTACACACAGTCGATATCCGAAATTCGGGGTAGGCGTGTCACCGGAAGTGACGTGCACTCGATAGAAATTGCGTGGATAAGTTGTTGCATGCATGCTTTGCTGATATCTAGCGATGTATGTTGGAATCAGCTTATCTACATACATCAAGTGCACGTCACTTCCGGTGATACGCCTACCCAAAGTTTCGGATATCGAGTATATTAGGTTGTCCTGAAAGTCTTTGCTCATTTGTCGATTTTTTTCAAATCCACAGTTCTTCTTTAACCCAGCCAGCATTTTACAGTCATATGCCCCATCGTCATCGTCAACATACTGCCTTTCAGCTGGTGACTTGTAGATGCCATGCTGCTGATGCTAGGAGACAAAAAAGAGTTTTCAGGACAAAAAACTGGAGGAATCCGTTTCCGAGTCCGGAACATAAAGCTCTAACTCTTTTAGTAATCAGCAGCCACAGAAGCAGATGGTATTCTGCTGGGGCCGGATCGGCTGAACACAGTTGGCGGGATAGAACATCCCATGAGGGGCCTGGAGACTTTTGCTGTACCTTCTTTGAAATTCTGACGATCGCTGCTCGGATTATGTGATCTTTGTAATTTTCTCCGCATAGTGTTGAAAATCCCCTCGGCTTGCCCAGATTATTGAACTACAACAGCAGTGAAGTTCGTGGTAGGAGCTGTCGGTGAAAGGACCGCTTGCAGCTTTACCAACTCTAAAAGTTGCCTCTCAAGTTGCAGTGCTGAAGTGGAATATTTGGTCTACGCGTCTGAGCCAGTGGCGCTCGCGGGTGTGGTTTACTAGAGGAACCCACTCCTTGTTACCACCAACGAAGCAGTTGGGGCAAGCGCGTTACAGACGGTAAATCAAAATATTCATCCGAAATCTGAAGGCTTCTGAAGGCGGTTATTACCCAGATCACGGAATCCCCTTTTTCCGTGATTTCTTTTCTTTTTGAGGGCTATTGAGGAATGGCCATTGTTCTGATAACTGTGGAAAAGCTGACTCAGTTACCGTGCATTGCACCACAAACTGTTACCATTCCAGAAGACGCTCGTCGCTTAGTGTAGCTGGCCATTTCAACTCTCGGCTTTTTTCTTGAGTTTCTAAACAGCGGCAACCAAATCTTTGCCATGTCTCGAAAAGCACTTTGGGGGTCCATCGCAAGACGTAGGACTCTTGCCATATCGCTTTCACTGAAGCAATTTCCGGGTTTTAGAGTCAAAAGTAGCCAAATATGCTTTCGGTCAAAGTCGATTTTTTCACCCCCAATAGCTGCGAAATACCACGGCAGAGATGCTCTGGAGAGGTCATCGACTAAGGTTCACATATTTTTTTTACAATGAATGTTCAAAATTCTTCCTGGAGATTTCACAACATACACATGGAAATGGGCAAAGACTTTCAGAACAACCTAATAGTAGGGATTGTGTAGGAGGATGTATGTCTCGTCCGCAAAATGGAGTGAGTGACAAGGCAGCTAAGTAAAATAAACAAGCGGCTGACAAATCCGAGTAGCTCGCTGCATTTGAGCCCCCAAGTTTTCTAAAAGGTTAATTTGATGAAACTCCTACGGCTATATAAGCGCCCACTGAGCACACTTCCGGTCATTCTACATGGTGCTGCAGAGGCAGCTGGAGAGCGTGAATGAGTAAGGAAGGATGAGGAGGGGGGGGGAGGTGGAAAACCAACGGTCATGCCCTGATTATGGCGATGCTTTCCACTACATGAAACCCCTTTCTGTTTCATACGCGTCACTTCCGCAAGGTGGTGGTGTCACAAATAGAAGAGTTGAAGCTTACGGGGAAAGAAGGTCATGGCGGTTGACGCTGGACCAATCTGGTAAATAGTAAAGCGGATATCCGAATAAGATTTGACTAATTTCACACTTTCAATCAGATCTACTTGTCCTCTAGAGGCTGCCCAAGCTCACTTTCTTTGGATTTACTGTGTGACGTCAATTCCCAGGAATGGGGGTGGCATAAAGATTCTTATTCAGGGCGAAGGGAAGGCGATAGTTCGCCAGGGTGATGCCACTGCTTTATAGTGGATGAGGTATCGTTGCCGTAGATATCTTCTTCAGATCGTGGTGGGTTATCATTGCAATGTGAGATCTGGCGTACATTCGGAGAAAGGAGAATCTGAGACGCTTCTGACGATTCCCTCGCAACGATTCGAAGCCAGCCTAGAGGGCTATTCCGCACTGAAGTTAGCAATGATTGTCTTCATACACTGAAGTGGTTCCCAAACCAGGCCACCTAGCTAATCCAACTAAACGAGAGCGATATTTTCAGAAAATGGAGTTCGGGCTTTGGTTGAGCTGGCGCTTCCTGGCTGCGAGACAGCCATCAGACGTGCCGCATGTTGTTGTCGCACTGGACTCATAATTCATTTCCACTGGTGACCGATTAGGGAAGGCTCTGGTTTTGCCGTCTCAGAGTGGATTTTTCACAGATGGTCAGGCGTGCTTCTCGCTTGTCGTCGGCCGCACCATAAGGCTTCCATCAAAACTTCATTCTGCAGCAGTCCTTGCTATACTGATGGCGTGTGCTGGGGCATCGGCTGCGCTCAGGTATCTGCTACAATACCCTGGTTGCGAAGTACGGAGGCACTCCCAATTTGGGGAGCAAGGGGCGCTCATCAAATATGATCGCAGGCCCAGTATGAGGTTGAAGTTGAAAGTTGAAGTATAGCTCGTTGCGTCTTTGCCATTGCGATTGGACCACTAGCTCAGTACCCTATCATTAGCAGAGATTAGGTCAAAAACAGCGCTGGTCTTCTCTGTTGTCCTCCTTGCTACAGAAATCATTTGAGGATCGTGAAGCATGATCATTCATTATAGCCACTGACCTATTTTATTCCAAGTTTATTACCCATCACGGGCTTGTGTTTCCGAAACCATGCTGTTAAGGTTCTTGAAGCATACTCCACTAACCTAACGTGTTTCGCAAGAAACGGTCTTAGACGGAAGAAATTTGAAATTGAATAGAAATGAGACAGTGATTATGAGACAACCCAATAGAATGCGTACCGCATCCCAAAAGGGATTGATCAAGGACAAATGCTTTATCCTATATCCTTTTATCCCTTCTGCCTGCGATGCTTGCGTACACGTAATTCGTGCACCCAATTACCTTTAAATTTTAGCGATAAGCGGCGACACAAGTTGTGTGATGAGGAAATAATCTCTAATGGATTGGAAAATGGAGAAAAGCAGCTCGTAGCTTATTTCCAAACAAAACGAAGCCAAAACTGAATGCAGAGCACTCAATCGCGGCCCCAACAAAGGACGACTCCGCTGAATGAAGTCGACGGCGAGTTTCGGAAGGAAAACTTGCTCTATAATTGTTGATTTCCATAATCGGTCTGCCGAGGCGACGAGGGGATCATCACGGAGCACTTGACAACCAATCTGTCATAATGATCAAGTTGTAGGAAAGAAACCACAAATAAAAAGCCACTGTGATTCGATGGATCGCTCATAAAGCTTATCTCGACTCTTCTCAGCGGTCAACCATCAGGTTACATGCGATAAGATTGGTGGGGGCATGTGCTGCTACAAATTTGCAGAAATTAAAGTTTTTGCAAGGGGAGGGAATCCCCGGGGTGCGTGATCCGTTTCGCTCAAACTTTTACACCCACCCTGGAGCTTCCCTCCTCTGTAAAAAAAATGGATAACTTCGATATGAACTGTCGCACCCACATGCCCCCCTTACCGGACGAGACCCAAAAAACTCACAGGTGCAATAATGCTTGCAATAATATAAAAAGTAGAGGTAGCAAAGGAATGGGAACGCGCATTGATCACGTTTTGAATGTGCCCAATCGCGCCTTGGCGATGGTGACAAACGGAGATATTAATGCGGAGTTATGATTTGGAAAATTCAAATTATTCTCTCTCCAGTTGTGGCTAAATATTCCTCGAAAACTAATCTGATGAAAATTTAGCACACTGGAACTTTTTTCTGTGCAAATGCGTTTTTTTCTTCGAACGACCATAACTTTCGTTCTTGCCAGTGTCGTGGCGGCGGCCGGTCGCTTTTTATTGATCTCTCCCCTGCCACTGATTCCTACTGGATACTGTTCCGTCTCATTTCTGTTGAGTGCTTTATATATTCACTGGTACTACTTCGGTTACCTACGGCGCCTCATCTAGCTGCTCTTATTCTACTGCTGTGCCCATGCTTTACGGCCTGGTTAAATCGAGCATCATTGTGGCGAGGTGTGATCCCTTAAGGGATACTCAGCCACATTCGAATGTGTATTCTTCTTTTCTTTTTGTTTCTGTCTGTGACTTCGGTTGCCCCGTTTAGTTCTTTAGGGCGAATGGATACTTCGCTGGCGTCATTTCGTGTTCAGGAGCGTCCGTCGAAGCGTTCATGCATCGATCCGTCACCTACCGCACCGCCCGACAAATTTGACCAGGATGTGGCCATGCTTCTTGAAGATCAAAGTCTTCCGCAACACCTGCGTTCTGTTTTGTCGGTTCTCCTTGAGGATAAGTTCCTCAATTCAGTTCTGTGTCGAAATCGTGAGCTTGTTGAAGAAGTAGCGTCACTTAGGTCTCAAAACGCTGAGTTAAGAGCCATTATTTCTGCTGGTTCTAATGCTGCCCCGTCCCAGTCTCCTGATGTTTCTGCGCCTGCTGCTAAACCTCTTAGCCCTCCCTCCATGACTCCTCAAGAAATGGAACGCAAGCGTTCAATTGTCGTGATCGGACTTCCCGAAAGTTCGGGCACATTGCCCAGCGATAGGTTAGTGAATGATACTAACTTGTTGAAGCGTATGTTCGATTTTCTTGAAATTGAGTGCTCACCTATGTCAGTTTATCGTATGGGTCGTGTTGACCGTTCGTTTCCTAGGCTATTGAAGGTCATCTTACCATCATCATTCTTTGTAAGCCAGGTGCTACGCCATGCACCCAACCTTCGGTACTTCTCTATTCCAAAAATAAGGCCCTCCCTTACCAGGAAGCAAAGGAATAGAGCTCGCACGAAGCGTTTGGCACGACGTAACTCTTCGTTGTCCAAAACTACGCAAGTTCAATCTCAAAGCCTTTATAAAAATGATCAAGTATCTCCTCAACTGATTAATATTTCTGATGCTAGTATGCAATGTGTTAGTCCTGTTTGTGGCCAGCCTGGCCCATCAAACTTGTGAGCCTTCATCGGGACCAGAAGCTTCGACTGGTATGTTTGTATGCCAATATAAGATCTGTTCATAAGAATGCTCGTGCGCTCATTCATCAGCTTCAGCTATATGATCCTGATATAGTTTTTCTATCTGAAACATGGCTCAATAGAAGTGCAGTGTGGTTACCTATTCCTGGTAGTAACGGTCCGCAGTACGAAGTTATCAGGTGTGACCGCATTTCCAAAAAGGGGGGTGGAGTGGCTATCATGACCAAGGTAACCCTCTCTCCTGTCATTGTTTACCGCGAGAGTTTCCCGAAGTCACATGAGTTAATATGTCTAGACGTTACCTCGCACAATATACTCTTACGTCTTATCACGGTATACAGAGCTCCTTCATCAACGATGGCGTCGACCAATCACCTTTTCAAGGCGATGAGTGACCTTATATCCTCTGATCGCCATTGTGTAATTGCAGGAGACTTCAACCTCCCTGACATCAATTGGGGTAGTCCCTGTGGCATAATCAAAGGCTCTAGTGCTTCTGTCTCATTTCTTGGTCTATGCAGAAGCCATCTTCTCATCCAACATGTTAAGGTTCCCACCCTAGGGAGCAACACTCTTGACCTTGTTCTAACCAACAGAGAGGATCTTATTCACAGCTTGGTTGTTGCCCCGCCTCTTGGTTCTAGTGATCACAACAGCCTCCTTTTTGATTTGAACCTTCCGGCGGTCAAGAAGCTGTTTGTTAAGAAGAGAGTTTTCAAAAATGCTAACTATAATGTTATCAAACAATACCTAGCTGGAATAGATTGGTACGGCTTACTCACTCTCGCTCATTCACTTGATGAAATGTATGAACTTTTTATTGCAATACTGCATCACTGTATATCGATGTTTGTTCCCCTTGTCCAGGTTCCCTTATGCCGGTCTCACTTGCCGCTATATCTACGACGCCTCTATCTTGAGAGGACCAAGGCTGTCACCTTGAATGATACCCCTGAGTATCGGTGTAGGTTCCAACGGATCAACGCCAAGTTTGAGCGTAAACTTTGGAAGTACAATTACTCAGTGGAGAAGAAGGTTATTGAGTCTAACGATAGAAATGCATTTTATAAGCTTGTTAATTCGAGGCTTATTCAGAAACCAAGGCTCGGGTGCCTCAAAGATAGTGATGGCACCACTTATACCAGTGACATGGATCGAGCGGAAATTCTTGTCAGTACTTTTGAAAAATCCTTCGCTAATAGTTCCTTCGAAGCTTTGACTGATCTATCTGGGCTTAATATGTTCCCAGTCATGACTGATTCTTGTGGTTTCATTCTGACGAAATTCTGTCTCTGGTTCTACACTGGCCTTCGTCTTATTCTTTGACGCCAGATGAGTTGCCACTATCGTTTATCAAAAACGTTGCTCATGAAATTGTTGGTCCGCTTCAATACATTTTAATCTGTTTCATGAGAGCTGAGGTCCCTTCTAGATGGAGAATGGCCTATGTAACCCCGGTTCTCAGAAAAGCGCCATACGACTGCCCGGCTAATTATCGTCCCATTAGCATTACTTCTGTGTTTGGTCGAGCATTCGAAAAAATTTTGAAGAAAAGAATTGAAGCTCACATCGGTGAACACTCAATTCTCTCTTCGTTTCAGCACGGCTTCCAGAAGGGGAAATCTACCACCACAGCATTGCTCCAGTCGCTTAATGACTGGACCGCCTCCCTGGACGCAGGAGCGTGTGTTGATGTCGTGTACCTAGACTTTTCCAAGGCTTTCGACAGGGTTGATCACATGAAGTTGCTCACCAAACTGTCTCTTATTGGAGTGCACTCGCGCATCATTTCCTGGATACGTGCCTTTTTAAATAATCGTTCGTTTGTAGTGCGCATCAACAATACCTTTTCTTATCCACGCTCGACGCCGAGCGGTGTTCCTCAGGGAGGTGTACTTTCACCGATTCTCTTCGCTATTTACACATATGAATAACCTACTCTCATCACTGATTTCGGCGTCAAATGTAGTGCTTTTGCTGATGATGTCAAACTATATTGCTCAGTTAGGACAGAGGAGGACATTTCACGCCTTCAGTGTGCCATAGACGGTGTCAATCGTTGGTCCAAAAAATGGGGTCTACCGTTGTCGAGTGAGAAGACTACCGTACTGCATCTGAACTTGAAGAATAAGATGTTTCCTTACACTGTGGATGGCACCCAAATCAAGAAGGTTGAGAAACATAGAGATTTGGGGTTTATTATCACTAGAAACCTCTGTTTTGATGCCCACTGCGAATTCGTTGCTCAAAGAGCCACTACCGTTGTATATAAGTTGTTTAGAGTTCTTACAACCAAAAATTGTGGTATACTTTTGCGAGCCTTCAAAACATATGTAAGACCAGTTTTAGAATACGGTACACCAGTGTTCAACCCATTCCGGGTGAAGACTATTTCTAAACTTGAAAGGGTGTGCAAAATTCTTTTACGCGGAAAATGATGATTAGGGTACTGGGTTTCCTGTATGATGGTATTCCATCCAGCATGGAAGGAACAAAAATTTCGGCCTACACACCCTCTCCTACAGGAGAAGGAAACATGATCTTATATTATTCCATAAAATTTTACATGGTTCATGCGGTCTCATCCCAGATCAACTTGGTATGCTTAGGCCCGCTATCACCAGAGGTGATCCTATGAAATGTTCTCTCCCACGTGCTAAGCATAGTGTTAGATATCACTTCTTTCCTCTAAGAGCTGGCAGAGATTATTTTAAACTCAACAAGCGCAAAGCATTTCCGATTAATGTCAGGGCTTTCAAGCACTCCATCGATAAGTATTTGGTCCCGTAAGTTATTGCCTTCTTTTCTTTATCATCTCTTGCTTCATAATTTGCCACTATTTTTATTGTTGCAAGGTCTTGTTCCTTTTTTTGTCGTTGGTTGCGTTTTACTTGTAACACCACATGAGTCCGTCTCATGTAATAAATATATAACTTTGTTCAAATTCGTTGATTTCAAAAGCTGAACACAGTGTGACAAACTTTAAGATTCAGGTTTTCTAAAAACTTTCCAAGCCTTCCTCAAACGTCAGCAGTTGGAAAATTAGTCCCACTGCGGCTCTCGCGAAGCTATTTTTGTGGAACTGCAACTTTTCCACCTCCAAACGATAATAACTTCCTTCAAATTCGTTTATTTGGAAGCATGAATCATGTACGACAAACTACAGGGTTCAAGCTTTCTAGAAAGTGCCCAAACGTTCTCGAAAAATCAGCAGTTTAAAAATTGATCAAATTGCAACATTTTTAGAGGCATTCTGCAAGCCATTTTTTTGAAAACGCCTTTTTTTTCAGGTTCCATTGGAAGTAACCTCCAGGTAAAGCATTTTAGTGTTGAACATAGGATTTGTTATAGAGCTTCGAGCATGCGCTTGCACTGATATCCCCTGCCCTGGTGCGCACCATGCCTCGGCCGCGCTTTTAACTCGCTGATTCATGCGAAAGCTCCTTAAGAAGGAAGCGTGGATTAATAATAATCTAGTATCAATTGTCTTGCGTAAACGTAAGGTGCTGGTTACTATCCATGTCGTTTCAAGCACTACTCCAGCTACAAATCAATTTCATATGGGGTTCGTAGCTGGAATCCATGTTCACCAAGGAGCCCATTGGCGGCCACCGAAGGAATACGATCCCCTCCCCTACAAGCTCGATCAAACAAGACACCCCAGTTGGTGCTTGTCGCAGCTCGAGCGGACGCCGGCAACGTCTCCATTCGTTCCTTTCGCGTGCCAGAGTTGCCCAGTGTACCCTCCTCGCTAGAAGAACACGATGTTCTTCACTTCTTTCGTTCAGAGCTTTCGTGAAGAAGTCTGACCATGTCTGACCATCGGTTCGGCAGCCGTCCAGGTATTCGTTAGACGTCCCGAAGGATACAGTCGGTAACTGCTCTGGTCCAACGGTCACCACAGAATCGCATAACGTGTCCGGCCCACCTTATCTTCGATTCCTTGGCGAAAACGGCAGCGTCTCCGATTTTCGATCATTGGCGTGGTTCCGAACTCCGGATTTCCCTCTGCACTTGCGTGTATAGGGTTACTCCTAGCGTCGTCCTCCCGACAGCGCGTTGGATAACGCTGACCGCATGCTCGTCCTGCCTGCGCAAAGTCCAAGTCTCTGAGGCGTAGGTTAAGGCAGAAAGGACAAAGGATTCGAAGACATGGGCACGAAGCGGGATGTTCTTCGTTTTCTTCACTACTCCCTCGATGTGAAAGTGAGACGGAGCAGCATTTTGTACTCTCGTAAAACGTCAATGAGTCTTGTAACCGTGTGGATATGGTCGACCGTGCTGGACCCTCTTCGAAACCCTGTTTGCTCGCCTGACTGTCCTTCATCTAGTATTCTGCCGATTCTGTTAAGCATTACTGGAGTGAATAGCATGTAGATAACAGAAAGCAGACAGATTGGGCGATAGTTGCCAATGCCGCCAAAGTCTCCCTTCTTATACAACAGCACAGTCCTGCTGGTTTTCCACGGGGTGGGTACCTTTGCATTAAGACAGGTAACGCGTGAAAAGTCGAGCCAAAGTTTCGAAACTAGCGGTGCATTCTTCAGATGTTCCGGTTTAGCTCTTCGATACTGGTGCGGTACGACTCTTCATCGACTTGATGGCATGTCGGACTTCGGAAGAGAGAACAGAGTGAACGACGTATCCATCCTCTTGCGGTTGGTAAGTAGGCAGATGGATCTGGCTATCGGAGAGATCCGAGTAGAAGTCGTAGATGACTTTCTCCACTGTCCTTCGGATGCAGTGACTTTTCCATTCTTCTTGGTCTTGTAGCTGGCAAAGCTTCGGTGGGCATTGCGAATGCTCCTCCTAGTCTCTGCTGCTCTTCGCTCCTTGAGATCTTCCTTTATCGCCTCTCTGCATAACTTCGCAAGCTCGAACGTGAGTTGGTGATTGCCTGCAGCTCGTGTGGCTGGCGTATCAGATCGAGAGTTTCCGTGGACAGACGTCCCTTGGTAACTTTCAAATTCTCTGCTTTTCTGCCACTCTCGTGAAGGTGTTTAACGAGCCCATGATATTCCTCGTCGATGTTTTCAATAACGGAATGCTCCCATGAGATTATAAGAGAAGTGAAGTGATCTCAGTTGATGACTGTCCTGAGGCTTCGCTTCCTTAACTTTGAGGCTCTCTCAACACGCATAGAAAAGTGGAACTTTGCGCGGAGGAGCCGATGGTCCGAACTCGGGTAGAACTTCGGAACAACAGCGACATCGGTCAAGCAAAACCTTAGATTAAAGATGATGTGGTCTATCTCGTTATGGAACTGACCAACAGGTGACTCCCAAGTCCAACGAAGGTGAGAGGGAACTTCTGGATGTTGGTCGACATGATTAGCTCAGACAGTCTTTCGCCCTACTCATTCCAATCCAATCCGTGAGTACCGATGTGAAGTTCTTCAGCCGTTCTCCTGGGGCCAAAGTCGCCGACGATGACCTAGAAGAAGGTATGATCTTCCTTCACAACTTCTCCAATTCTATATAAAATGCTTCGTGTTTTTCTTCGTCGTAGCTGGATGTTGGTGCGTAGGCGACGAAGATTGCCAAAGCAGGAGTTGAACCACATCTTCCCATCTCAAACTTCCGACTCGGGTCGCTAGGCTTCCATACAAATCGATGTTTGTTGACGAGGACACCTACACCGCCGACGCCTCGCTGTCGCATGTTCCAAAGAACAGTTCTTCTCCAGTATCGAAAATGGCCTGGAGCGGGCGGTGCCTTCTCGTCTCGGTCGGTCCGATGACGTCGTACTTGATCTTCCTATCATCGAGTCTTCGATGTGAGCTTCGGATCTGAGCGTCCTTGCTTTGCAAGTGCAGATCACCATCCTAGTCCTTGCTTTAGCAGCCTATCTTGGCCCTGAGATTCTAGCAGCTTCTTCCGAGCGGTCCTACCAACGCTGCCGTATTGGGGGCTCCCTCTAGTTCAGTGGGATGAGTCTCGTTCATATTGCTGTTTTGGGAAATTGAACGCACACAAGAAGGCTGCCAGGCTCTGTCGGGTAGGCTAGGGTAGACCTCCTGGTAGTCAGCCACGCTATCCTAGAGCTAAACAAGGGGCTTATTTGTCGCAGGCGGCCCCAAATCGCTCGCATGTTCTTCCCAGTCACTTGAATGCAAGTTTTTGGCTGCGCCGAAATGCAGGATACCGACCGCATACACACAGATCGCACCA